CATAATGTTTATAAATTAGCCAAGTATTTCTAGAGGAAGTATTGACATAATACATTGACATGCCAAGCGCACACATTCCTTGACCCAGCTACTTCAATACAAACAGTTGGAAAAGATGCCAAGATATATGTGGGTAGTTATTGATTGCACCATAGTTTGTAATAGTGGAAATGTGAGCACAAGTTAAGTTCTCATTAGTAAGAAGTTGGCTAACATACAGATCCCATTAGAATCCTGCAGTAAAAGACTTTGGAGCCATTAATTAACACAGGGGTCTACGGTGTTCTGTGGACAGAAGCAGACATAAAATGGTTTATATAGTAGGCTGACCTATGTGTATATATAATACTGAAGAACAGAGCACAGTAGATTATCATTTGAATAACTGCCATTGCCCTTGCTGATTATTTATTTCAATTTTAAAAAGCAACTATAGGCCAATCAACATAGTTGTTCACCTGAAAATACAAGGGAGAAAAAATACAATTGAAAAAAAAAAACTCTCATTATATATTCTGTTGTATGTATATACTATTTGTACCTGTGGTAAGTTAGGATATCCAAAGACAGAAATCAAAGCAATATTTCTGCCTCTCAGGCTGGGCTGGGTGGGCCCTCTGCATTTCTGAATTATCTACCCCTAAAATCTCCTTTCCTATCGCAAATTTCTATTTCAACTGCTGTGAATTCTTAGTTTCTTTACCAATGTATCAGTGATCATAATTGGCTCCAATATTTGAGTTCCTCTGCATCAATTTTCATATCACTAGTACCCTAGTTTTCTAATTGGGTTCATTTCCTAATATCCAGACAAACTTTGATTAGTTAAAAGAAAGGCTAAGAAACTGAAGGTTTCTTTATGAAAGTGTTTCAGAATTGAAAATTATTGCTCAATAGAAATGATGGAGAATTAATTTTCTACACCCAAATTGATGTTGGTGATTCAAGACAATGACCTAATGATATTTTGTTGGGTTATAGAGAGAGTTCGCTGATTAAGAGACTTGCTAATTTTGCATCAGATCCAGATTTGGTTCCTAGCACCCACATGGCAGCTCATAACATCTCTAACTCCTGTTCTCTGGAATCTGATTCCCCCTCTGACCTCCCTGGGCATCAAGCATGCACATGGCACACAGACACACATGCAGGTAAAACACTAATGCATATGAAGTAAAGTAACTCAATTTTTTTTTAAGAAGACATTTTGCCTTTAGAGTCTTAACATCAAGAATGTTTAGACTTGCTTGTCAATACATTGAAAGACAAACTTTGTCACTTCACTTAACCATCTGGCACTAAAGCAATTGCTTTCATGGACAGCTCATATATGGCACTATTTGGAAATAGCATAGCCTTCCTACTTAAACATTTAAAGCTTACCATATAAGTAGAAGAGAATGGAATGGGGGAAAAGTAGCATAGTTAAATAGACTCCAGAGAGTCAACTGATCATATAAACAAAATTGTCTGAAAACTGTAATGTGCTTTGTAAATGCCAACATCATCATTATTATGAAAATTATAGTTGGCAAAACCTGGGTTTAGTATTCTATACAAAATGTTGGATTATATCTGCATAACAGAAAGAAAATCCCACAGTGAGGGCCGCTAAAGGATGGGCGAAAACCAACTGTTCCTGTCACTCCACCGCAGAAAGCACAGACCAACCTCTTTTCTTCACAAGTGTCCTCAAAAAGGTGACCATGACTCTAAGAGTTGCTTGTGTGGCCCGGGCATATGTGTGGATTGGAATAAGGCAGCTTTGAGTGAGGAGGGGAAGGAGCCAGTGTCTGTGAAAAAGGCTGGAGCATTTGACTTGGGTGGTGGCCCCAGCCCCATGGGTCAGACAGGCTTGGAAAGAGAACAGTGGGTGAGGAGCCCACTTAGGGAAGAGTTTGAAGCACATACCACACCCTTTGGAAGCATGGACCTAAAATATTTAACCCCATGGGGAAAATCATCTTCACTGTAGAAGGATGGAATTTTTTACCTCGTAGATGCTTACGGATGGGCAATGTTTTATTGCTCAAAGATGAGAAATTCAGAAGAGGTGACTCCATACAAGTCAGGAAGGTAGGGCCCTTTCCTCTCTGTAGCCAGTACAGACCTTAGCATTTACCTTCAACTGTTTATATTTATAAAAGTTAGACAGATTTAGTGCATGACGTCTATGTTGTGAAAAGTTAAGATAATTCTCCCAAAAAAGGAACACTAACTTTTAGATGTGACTATCAATCAGTCAAGTTGGAATGAAATCTTGGCATGATCACAACATCATATTTACACCTTCTTCAGTTTCCAAAGCTCAGCCAACTGAAGGAAAATATTTGCATCAGGAGTTCCATCGGAAAGCCCAAATGGAGAGTGAAAACAGATCTTCAGGGAGGATTACATCATATGGCACATGAAAGCCCATCTGGAGTCGGGGATGACTAGGAAGAAGTTCAATTCAGTTCAGCAGGCCACTGTGGAGTGTCTGCTCTGCGTTAGGGATGGGCTTGAGGCAGAGTGCAAAACCCAGCGAGAGGGTCTTACCCATCTCAGGAATTAGACTTGGATTTCAAAAGTCAGATATTTAGAGTAGTTTGACATCAAATAGCAGTTCAGTGTTGCCAGGATCTAGCTGGATTCCTGTGAAATGACCCTTTCATGTTGGAAGTTCTCACTGGGGAGGTTACCTGGACAGTGCATCAAAAATTCCCTCAGTGCTTAAGGTCAAACTGGATTCAAGGTTAGTTCTTAGATTTTCTTTTTTAGGCAGCCTTTTTTCCAAGCCAATTCCTTTAAATGTCACTAACTAAGATGATTTGAGGTAGGTGTGTCTTGCGCTGCGGAGTTCAGTCCACCGTAAATTTAAATAGAGAACAGAGTTCTACTAAAGGCTTAGGGATAAATTGGAGATTGCTGTAACCAGGCATTCTCATAATCTTTGGATGCTGACATTCCTATTTATTATAAGATGATTTCTCCCTAAAAGTTACTCTGTCCAGAGATTTGAAGTGTTTGGTGATATGGTGCCGATAGCAGTTATCTATAAGATGTAGGGTTCAGAAACACTAATATTTAGAGTTATTTTCACACAACTAAGCTGAAGGCAGAAAAAAAATCCTGTCTCTGGTATCTAAAAATAGCCTCCCAAGTGAACAGTTTTGCTGTTCTTGTGGTTGGGGTGAGGTTCATCTCACTTCAATCTTCCCTTTACCAGAAAGATATTAACCTAGCTTCAGGATTCTGTGCCCAGCAACACTCTTTGCCAGTTTGAGGGAGAAGGCTAAATTAATACATGCACCATATACACCTTCTGTTTGTAATTGGGGTGCTGAGAAGGTCCAGGCAGGACAAATTGTGTCTCGGAGGCTTAGGTGATCCCTATCAGGTCATTACTGCAAGGTGTGTGTGTCTATCTGTCCATGTCTGTGTGGTGCTACTGGCAAGTGGAGATAAGAATTCAGGCAAAGGTGGTGGCTCACTAAAAAGAATCCTCATGCCATGCCTCCCAAGGGATGCAGAGACAAGGTGGACAGATGAAGAGGAGAGCAGAGATGGAAATCTCCCTACTGAAACTTTATGTATCCATTTTCTGAACTCTCACTTTCTTTTACAATATTACAAGGTCTTCTTGTGCCCACAGGAGAGAGAAGGGAGATGGCAGAAAGGTCCCACTGAAGCATGCCCCTTCTCCTGAGAGCAACTAGTGTCTTGAGTTGAATCATTTTCTACAGTGTGTATTCTTCAATACTCTATTGATTAAATCCTTAAACTTTTATGTAAATCCTGAATAGTCTCCTTAGAGTCCAACAGAAGGTCGATGGCATATTAAACATTGGCTAACTCAAAAATCTGTGTGTGCACGTTCGTGTGTGTGTGTGTGTGTGTGTGTGTGTGTGTGTGTGTGTGTGTGTGTGTGTGTGTGTTTGAGATTATTAATGAACATGTAGGAGGAGAGTAGTTTAGGGACAGCCACAGAGGACTCACTAGAAGTCAGTTTGTGGGGTTGGGGATTTAGCTCAGTGGTAGGGCCCTTGCCTAGCAAGCGCAAGGCCCTGGGTTTGGTCCTCAGCTCCAGGGTAAAAACAAAAACAAAACAAAACAGTAACTGTCATTAATTAAAAAAAAAAAAAGAAGTCAGTTTGCTCCTATTGCTAGTCCTGTAGAGGGACAGGGACTGTTTCCTGACCCAGAGCCAGAGAATCATTTAGCATCAGCTAACTTGAGATGTGCAGTGACATGTTGAAGGACACAGACAGGCCTGCAGGGAGACAGCTTAGGATGCACCACACTGACCTCACTTCCTTCTCGACTTCCCAGGTCCTTTTGGGAATGAATCTACCTGTAAGCACATAGCACAGAAAACTGTTTATATCCCATGAAAGTCCATATCAGAAAGCAGGGATAGAATGATTTTTAGGTGAGGATTGTGGGAAATGAAAAACACACAGAATATTAACATATGCTTCAGTGTCCTGCTTCCTTGTATCCCAGAGTCATTCATATTTCTGTACTTCAGCTGTAACTCATCTGTTTACATCATGCTTTAAAATATGTATTTCATCGGGTGAAAAGACCACAGTTCATGTACCCATTTCCCTAGCAGTGGACAGGTTCTGGTGTTTTGCTATTTTGAGGTTCTTATGAATATTCTTGGTAGTGTTTTTTGATGTATAGGCACAAAATTTCTCTTGAAAATATGAAGCACTTATATTAGAACTCTTGAGCTGGGGCAAACACACCAGGATTGCCAGATGACACTAACTTGATTTTCAAAGTAGTTCCAACTATCTGTCTTTTTCTGGGGGCATGTGAAAGCCTTCACGATACTCGATACTTTCAAACTTTGCTGGTGGCTTTGCTGTGCATTTCCATTTCCCTAGTGGTTATTGTGGTTTGATATGTTCTCATATGTTTAGTCATCACTGTTTCCCCTGCCCTGAAAATACTTGCTTAGATTTCCCTCCATTCTTTTCTACCATGTATTTATTTATTTACTTACATTTCAGGAGACAGAGTCTCAGTGTATACAGCTGACCTTCAACTCACTATACACGTGCTGGGGATTGAACCCAGGGTTTCATGTATGCCAGGTAAGTATCCTACCAGCTGTGGCACATTCCCAGACCCTGCTTTTTTTTTCTTAGTAGTTATATTTGGATAGTAACCCTGTGTCGGTTATAGCCGTTCCAATTTTGTGGATATTAAAATGCACATATGTGCCGGGCGGTGGTGGCACACGCCTTTAATCCCAGCACTCGGGAGGCAGAGCCAGGCGGATCTCTGTGAGTTCGAGGCCAGCCTGGGCTACCAAGTGAGTTCCAGGAAAGGCGCAAAGCTACACAGAGAAACCCTGTCTCGAAAAACCAAAAAAAAAAAAAAAAAAAAAAAAAAAAAAAAATGCACATATGCTTAAATTATTTAAATTCTTTATTCCAATGTACCCCAAATAATCAATCCATCCTTTTTATATTCACCCTCATTATCCTCTCTTGTGACCTCTTCATTTTGAGCTTGTGTTTGCAAAGTGGTTAAAATACACAAAACACAGAATTTGTCATTTTAAATGGACGGTTCACTGACAGTGTGTACATTCAAATTATTGTGCGCCCATCATTGCTCTCCACCTCCAGAACTGTGTTACTCTTTTCCTCTTGGTAAATTTATTTTATAATTATATGTGTGTACCTATGTGTGGGCATGTGCACGTGAGGCCAGTAAAAAGGGGTTTGGGTCTCCTAGAGCACGAGTCACTGACAGGCAGTTGTGGGTTGTCTGACATCCGGCTGGGGACTGAACCTGATCCTCAGAAAGAGCAGGACACACTCTTAATTGATGAGCCCCACTCTCCAGCTGCCTATGCTTTTAATTAATGTCTTCCCCCCACCTTTGCGATGTGATCTAGCTATGTTGTTCTGAATGGCTCCCAACTCCTGGGTTTAAGCCGCTCTATCACTTTAGTCTAAATAGCAGCAAGTACAGGTGCTTGCCACTGTGCCCGTATCTTCATGCATCATTTAAGGACTTCTTGGGCGCACAAACAACATAAAGACCATGCATATATTCATTCTGAAAGTCTTATGATTTTGCCTTTCTGGAGTAGGGCTTCAACTAGCTTGAATTGATATCAGTGGATAGTAAGAGATAGAGAATGAAATTCCTGTCCCACAGAGAGCCATTTGTCCCAGTGTCATTCAGAGTTGTCCATCTTTTTTCCATTGACTGGAGCAGTGGATCTGTCACATGCTGGGCTTCTCTATAGACCTGGGACCACTTCCGGGTTCTCCATTCTGTTCAATTAATTTGCTTATTCCTGTTCCAGCATCACTGTATTTAAAGTACTATAAGTTGATATCAATCTTTCCGTTGAAACACAGTCCAAAGTCACAAAGATGCAATCTCTAATTTTCTTATCTTCTTTGCTTCAGAGTCATATTCTTATCCAGCCTTTCCCAGCCACTTTTTCTAGAATTTCTAAGACTTCTCCAAGAACTGTTCATACTCCTCTGGTTGAACTGTTTATGGCTTGGCTTATTTTACATAGTAATGCATTTATTTATTTATTCATTTCTCTTTCCTACTAGACTATGAAGTTTAAGAGGACAGAGATTTGGGGCGCTTTCATCGGAAAGCACTGCCTGGCACTTAGCCGGGCTAACTGACATTTCCAGAATGAAATAAGCCATGTTGGTCTTTGGGAGGGCATTTCTTCCTCCCTGTACTACCTCCGAAGGGTGTGTTTTCTCTCCTGCTCTTTTGACCTTCACTGCTAGATGAATGGAAGCAAAGAGAGAAAGAATGAGATGTTTGTTTTAAATTTCTCCCATAGCCAACTCTTGGAAGTAGGAAATGAAGTCAGGAGGGTGGAGCGGGCAGAAGGTGGCCAAGTTCGCCTTTCTTCTTATGGGTCAGGCACCCTGTTGGAAAGGCTTCTTTTCCTGTGCTTTCCATGGTGAGGAGGGCCGCCAGGGCACAGAGGTCAGAGCACGCTCACTTTGCAAAGAACTTTAGCACATCCTTGGGCTTTAGGGTAACACACCCTAAACCAGGGAAGAACTTACCAAGTATGGCAACCAAACTCTCAACTGTGTAGGACAGGCGTTCTGGAGTGGTGACGTCAACTAACAGTGAATGCCATGTGGGTTAGACTGTCTGCTGCTGGCATTGTCCAGCACAGGCACTGCATCGAGCCGCGATGATTCATGGAAATTATGCCGCAAAAGGTACTCTGTGCTTTATTACAGGGCAAACTGGGGAGCCAAATCACTCTGGAAGGAATGTGTCTAAAGTTTTCAGATGAGGACTTGACGTTTCTAAGGCCAGAGGTGCATTTGATTCAAACCATCTGTTTAGTGTGAAGCCGAACCCCGCACTTTCCTTATCTGTCTCTCCAGTACTCATCAATCTTGTTTCATAAATATTTATCGAAGGCTCTTGGGCTCCAGGAGCCGTGGTTACAGAGATGGCATGGTAGTCCCTGGTTTTGACTTCTTATGGTTTAGCGAAAGTAAAATTGTGTTACAGAGATGGCATGGTAGTCCCTGGTTTTGACTTCTTATGGTTTAGCGAAAGTAAAATTGTGTTTGCATATATATTTTTTCCCCTTTGTGAGGTCAGTGTCTATAGTTTCCCGGGAGTCCTGTTTGCCAGGGCTGACAGTATTATATTAATCCATCACTGTTGATGAAATGAATGCATGAGAAAACATGAAAGCATCTCGTTCACTGAAAGCACCTCTGAAATGTCCTCGTCATTATGTGTTGTTGCTGCTGTGACAGGGATGTCTGCCTTTCAATTGCCTCTGGGTATAGAAAACAGTTTTTACAGTGTGTAGTGACCCACATTGATATTAGAAAATAATAGTGCCGGTCTAGCTGATAAGACTCAGGCTATTTTGTTCTCAGAGATCAAATACAGGCTTTTAAGGGGCCAAAGAGATGGCGTTGCAGTCAGGAGCGCTTGCTGCTCTTCCAGCCCTCAGGTTCTAATCCCAGCCCCCACAGGGTGGATTACAGTAGTCTGTAACTCCAATCCCAGGGGATCTGATGCCCTCTTCTGGCCTCTGTTGTCACTGCATGCAAGAGGTGCATAGAAGCCAACAAAACATCCATATACATAAATACATAAATTAAAAACAGGGCTGGAGAGATGGCCCAACCGTTAAAAGCTCTGGAGGCAGAGCCAGGCGAATCTCTGTGAGTTTGAGGCCAGCCTGGTCTACAGAGTGAGATCCAGGACAGGCACCAAAACTACACAGAGAAACCTTGTCTCAAAAAAAAAAAAAAAAAAAAAAAAAAGCTAGGTTCACAACTAAAAACAAATTAAAAACAACAACAACAAAACCCCCAAAACCAAAATAAGGTTTTGATATGATGTAAAGACATCTATTACATGACAGTAAGATTTTGGTAAGGTTAAACATATTTTTCTAGTTCTTTATGAATTAATCATACAATGTCATTAGTTATTTCATATTTTAATTTTGAAGGTAGGCATTTAAGGGATCATATAAAGTGACACATGATGACAAATAAAAGGGGCTGTCTACAAAAGAGCTTAAGATCAAGTAGCCGTGGAATTCTTGACAAGCCACAGGTGATGACCATGAACCATTTGGAACAGGGTACAAAAGTGGCCTATAGGTGTGTTTTTCTTAGGAGACAATTCATCATATGTTTTAGCAGTTCATTTCCCCAAACGTGAATGCCTGTACTAGAGGGATATAAACATATAAAAATAAATCTGGCATGGTGGCGCATGCTTTAGATTCTAGCACTGGGAGGCAGAAGCAGGTAGATCTTTGCCAGTTTTGCAAGGAAAATTGCTGATAGTAATAAACTTCATACATATAATTAATTTCTTTATGAGCTGATTTCTTAGTTTTTGTAAACTTTTTTTTCTAATAAATTGACTTTCTTTCATTCCTGGTGGTATTAAACTTTTGTGTTATATTTATGGTAAACCTTTTCTTACTGCAAAATAATTCTGTGAGCTTTTTTAGATGCACAATTTTGTTTTTATATAGTCAGATCTTTAGATTTTTTTTATTCTTTTGTGATTTCACTTCAATTTCCGTGGTATCCTCAGACTATTCACGTATGTCTTTCTTCAGTGCTTCAATTTCTTTTTTTTCCCTTAAAGATAGTTCACAGGTCTTAGGAGTTTCTCTGGATTTGGTGATGTCCATTGTGTATATGCCACAGAGGGGAAATGTGAACCCCACGCTCATATTAGTGGAATTAGGACAGCGATAAGGTTGGCAGAGGGGAGCTCCCCAATAGTCACTTCAGCTCTATCATTTGTGAGGCAGCCTTTGGAAGTCACTGTTTGGTTTTTGTTTTGTTTTGTTTTTGTTTTTGTTTATGTGTAAATTGGAGCCAATACTAGCGCTTACTTTGTGTGGCCTGAGAACAAAAATTGACATATAAACTGCTTACAACAGGTTCTGCTACAAAGGGCAGCCACCAATTTAGTCCATCTTAGGTGGGCAAAGTTTTACGCATCTCTAAAGCCTCTTTGCCAGGGCTTCTGCCTGAGGCTTTTGTTAGGCAGATACGCCACCTAGGGGCCGCGGCCTTGAACACACTGTAGACCGCAGAGGGCGGTTCGTGCTCTAAAGCTCCGCGGGAGGATGCCCACCTATCCCGCCCGCATCCCCGTGGTCCCCGGATTTAGATTTCAGGTAAATCATGCAGGTTCCTCCACTCCCTCGATCCTGTGCTCTCCGGTTACCCTGCGAGGGGGAAACTGAGTGCCCCGCACGTGGATGCGCAAACTGACATTATTCTGGTAACTTTTCTCATCACAAAAAATGAAGGCAGCATTGCTAACAGAATGAGAAGTCCTAGTGCGTCAGGGCCAACGCTTGACACAAGCCGGCTCTCTCCACCTCCGCCAGCGTGGAAATGTTTGCCCTTAGCATAGCGGCACTGAGACCCAACTTCGTCTCCACGCACCGAGGGACAGCCCATTGTTCTGGAAAACAAATGAACAGAGCCCACAGACACTTTTTATTTAAGATGTTTTATGCCGGGCGTTGTTTCTCATCCCGTAACCCCAGCATTTGGGAGGCTGAGGCAGGAGGATCGCCATGAGTTCCAAGTTAGCCTTGGCGGCAGTGGGAGACCCTATCTCAGAAAGATCAAACGTCCGCCAACAAAACAAAACAAACACCAAAAGAAACAGCCACAAAAAGTCTCGCAGCAAGCCAAACGCACGCAACACGTTGTCCTTTCAGCTTTTCCCACGGATCCGCGTAGTACAGCGGAGGGCGGGGCGCCAGGGGGTGGGATCTGTGTCCACACTTCCGCTTCCGGTCCCAAATGAACTCTCCCGCCACTGGGAAAGAGCAGCTGTCAGCGCGGGTATTTCCTCCAGTTTGGTTGCTGGCTGGTTAAAGAAAGTCTTGCGCGTTTATTTGGGACGGAGAAATCGTGGAGTTGAAAGTTTGCAAGTTGACCTGGTGGGAACGAGTGACAGGTGATGTTTGGGGAGGTGGGGGACGGGGGGCGGGGAGAGACGCGGCCCCGGAGGGCGCTGGGGCCCGGGCGGGCGGGAACTTGAGGCACTTTTGAATGTTCTGGAAAGTTGGATTCAGAGGATAGATTTATAAATCTGTTCCCCAGAGTTATAAGATGAGGACTAAGCTTCTCATCCAGGTAGAATCTACTTTTCTTTCCCTTGATTTCACGACTGCCCCTTCAGTAAAACCCCCTTTGGTCTTGGCTTCGCAGATATCTGAGGGTGGCGACACAGACCTAGTGAGCAGACAGCATCATTTGACTTCCCTCTTGCTGGAGGGCCACCACCTGCATCTTTCCTAGTTTAACCCTTCCCTTCACTCACCCCGTTATTACAGATGTATGTAGAAAATAGGGCATCGCCTAGGTATAATCACTTTTAATGGTCTGCATGCTGTCAGTATTGTGTGTGTGTGTGTGTGTGTGTGTGTGTGTGTGTGTGTGTACACGTGTAGTCTATTTTGTTGTTTTCAACTCTCCCGTCGTTTTAACATTTCCCCCATCATTTAAACATTTTTTTTTTTTAATTCACTACTTTCAAAAGGTGGTCAAGATGCAGTTCTCAGGAAGGATTCGCAAGAAGCTGAGATTGGCAGGTGACCAGAGAAATGCTTGTTACCCTCACAGCCTTCAGTTTTACCTACAGCCACCTTCTGAAAACATATCTCTGACAGAGTTTGAAAGCTTGGCTGTGGACAGACTTAAATGTAAGTGGCATTTCAATCCAAACGTTTGTATGCTTGGGAGGCGCAGTTATGATTTGTGGCAAGGAGTGAAGGCAGTGTGTCTTTATCCGGCAGTTCATTGCATACACGCTGGAGAGGGTTTGTCAGTCTGTTCAGTGCTGTAGGCATTTGGAGGACTACTGTTTCAAGGGGCAGGGACTTTGTGATGAGAAACATAATTCAGTTCTTTGTTGAAACTGTATCTACTATGTAGAGAGAGATGTGGAGCACAAGTCATAGGTCAGAGTCCCTTCTGCTTTGGTAGAAGTAAATATGAGTGCTCCTGGAGCGTAAAAGTGAGAGCAACTAGCTTAGTCTAATCGAGTAAGGCTTCTTAGAGAAGTTGGTCTGGTTTCTGAAGAAATGAGTACAAAGTAGGAATTTTCCAACAGAAGAAGTGAAGGGCTTGTCCAAACTGAGGTAACGGTCTATACAAAGGCTTGGAGCTGTGAACGAGAGTTAGGATTTTCAGTGACTGGCTCAGGGTGAGTGGAGAAGTGTGGGGATCTGAAGGCATCTTAGATCATGCAGGATTTGAGTGTGAGAAGGATGTGGCCCCTGAACTGGAGGCCTCTTATCCTTTGTGTGTGGATGAAGAAGCGAATGAGCTAGACACGCCCTGAGACAAATACTAGCACTGTCTTCGGAGTTTAGGTTCCAGAATATTCTTGCTGGACTATCCAGGAGACCGGAAATTGTTAGTTTTTCTTAGAGCAGCAGGGTAAGAGCTGTAAACACAGGAGACAGCGCTCATTACTGTGCAGCGTGAGTGAAGGCCGTGGAAAAATGGTCATAGAAAGCTTAGCGGTGCCAGATGTTTCGTAGTGAAGGGCGCTGCTTGGCTTTGTCACTTAAGGGGTGAAATGGCAAGGGCCCAGTGAAGGTAGTGGCATTGACAATAATAGGAAGGGAAGACTTGAGAGATGAAAAGGCGGTGTCAGTAGCAGGATTTGGTGAGTGGTCGGATGTGAGGACTGAGGAGGGAGCGGAGCAGGGGCCTGACGTGCTTGCTTGGGTAGAAACTGCAGATGGAGATGGCAGGGGGCTGACGTGCTTGCTTGGGTAGAAACTGCAGATGGAGATGGCAGGGGGCTGACATGCTTGCTTGGGTAGAAACTGCAGATGGAGATGGCAGGGGGCTGACATGCTTGCTTGGGTAGAAACTGCAGATGGAGATGGGTCCAGCAGGAAGAGGAGCGGGAAGTGGAGAGGATGTGGTTTGGACACCTTAATAGGATGGACCAGAGAAACCTGGGTTTGTGTTCAGGAGGCGATGCAGAAGATGCTCATGTCTGGTATTAAAGCATGCCTTGAGGAAATTTGCGAGGAAGGCTGGTACATGGCTTTAGGAACCTTGGAATAGCTGAGGCATCTGTTCCGGATGGCTCCTTGGTCTCTGCATCACCAGGGAAGGAAAGCCTTTTTCTTTTTCATTTTCTTCTCCTTTTCATCTTGCTCCTGTGCTGAGTGAGTCAAGGTAGACTGCAAAGACTCCAGACTGCAAAGCTTTTCCTCAGACTGACACACAGACCTTTTCACTTCTCAGCCTTGGTGGCTTGGTACAGCTGGAAGGATCATCCATCATTTTTCCATCTTCCCTGGTTGAGAATCTCAAAAAAAGAGATTATTTTGAATTTTCGGCACATTGGTGGGGTTTATCCTCTTACAAACACAATTCATGTAATGTGCTTGCAGAAAACAAAATTGTTAATACTGTCATGTTCTAAGAACAGATAATTAGAGAATTGCTGCCTATAGGTTTTATCTTTGGATTTATTTATTTATTTAAATTATCTTGGATTTATACTTTAAAAAAAAATTTTTTTTCCCCTAGTGCTGAAAACAGTGGAGAATCTTGGTGTGAGCTATGTGAAAGGAACAGAACAGTACCAGAGTAAGTTGGAGGCTGAGATTCGAAAACTCAAGTTTTCCTACAGAGTAAGTAATAGAAAGGTGTGGTCCTTTCAGGTCGTATGTGTTTCTGTTACTCAGTGTAAGTTATGGGAACAAAGGTCTTTTGCTAGGCTTGGGTTTTTATAAAGATGAATATAGTTTAGACTGTTTGAAAGAATACACAGTCTGTCGAGGTGATTGACATACAGTTAGATGATTATAATATGGTAGTTTCCTTACCCCCAGGACTGCTGTCTTGCCTTATTAATTTCCTGTTGCAGGACTGTCCTGTACATTGTCAGGGTGGTTAGTAGCACCCTTGCCTTTTACCCACTGACTGACTATAGAGATTGCCTGCATTCTGTCTCATACAGAGTAATGCATGCTGGTTCTTTCTGGTTACTTCAGGAGCGTGTACAGCTGCTTGGCTCAGACGGGGCTGTTTAGAAGGCTTTCCAGAGGAGGAGGTTCTGAAGTTCTGGAACTGTGGTTTTTTTTTTTTTTTTTAGGGAGTTGTTCCACAGTCTAAGCTTTCCTTGATCTTGTGATGTAGTCCAGGTCTGCCGTGCCCTAATAATCCTCAGCCTCTACAGTGCTAAAGTAGCAGGCATGCAGCAGTACCACTGTGTCTTGACAGATATCATAACATTTTTATTTTGGAAGGATAATTGCCCACAGCAGGTTGATAGGGTCATTTTGGACAGGAGAGAACAGGAGCCTGAAATGATGAGAGTCTGAATTTATGAGAGATGGGAATGATTGAAGAGATATCAGTGTAGACCGAGAAGATATTTTTTTCTTTTGACTGAAAAGATTTTAGTGGCTTATCACAAGGGGAAACTGGAGAGAACAGTTACAGTACCCAGGTTTTTTCGTAGGACAATGTATTAGTTAATTTTCTTATAGGATCACAAAATAACTTGTGGAGATAACTTAAGGGAGAGAGGTTTTACTCAGGGTTTTAGAGGTCATACTTCATCAGAATGGTCAAGGCGTGGCAGATTTCATAATGGTGGGAGTGTGCAGTTGGGGTTCCTCACCTCATGGTGGCATACAGAAAGCAGAATATAGTTACAACCAGAAGTGGGCGTAGCCTTCGTCGGTCTGTCCCTAGTGACCTACTGTAGTCAGTGAGGTCCAGTGTCCAAAGGTTCTACAACTGCCAGACTAGGGCCGCCAGCTGGGGACCAAGTGTTGGAACACTGGAGTCTGTGGGTGACGTTTCAAATGGTGGTACTCTTTTAAGGTGTGACATACAGTAAGAGAAGCTAGTCCTGGAATCAAGATGCTGAGTTTTGTTCTAGACATAACTTGGACACAACTGTGACAGTATCTTGTGGACTTCTTCATATGTGAGTCTGGACTTAGGGAAGGCGTGTTTGGTGGGAGTGTAGGCTTCCGAGAAGGTTGGAATCAGCAAGACTAAGTGAGACTGCACTAGGGAAATATTAGAGAAGGAAATGGGGACAGGATGGGTGATTACTAGTATCTAAGGTGAGTGGAAAGGAGGAGTCTGGGAAGGAGACTTCATGAAGGAGCTTCATGAGAATTAGGCGATGAACTGGGATGGTAGTGTCACAGAAGCCAGAGAAGGTTGGCACTTGAATACTAGTGGTCATATTAATAATGGCAACACAACAAAACAACATCAGCCGTTTGCATTATGCTTATTTTGTGCTGAATTTGGCTGTAAGTGTGTTACTTATATTGTTTTAGGAGCTGGGTACTGTGACCAACCTATTTTATAGGTGAAGACACTGTTTTCTTATGCTTCATAATGGTAAATGGTAGAGCTATGATTTTACTGGGGCATTTACTGGGTACTGTGACCAACCTATTTTATAGGTGAAGACACTGTTTTCTTATGCTTCATGCTCATAATGGTAAATGGTAGAGCTAGGATTTTACTGGGGCATTTTGTTTTGTGATGGTATTTTTAATCCCAACAGTTTCAGGAACTTAAGCAGACCATCTAAGATTAGTTGTACATATACATTGGAGTTAGCATCTGGCTGCGCCCTTGGAGATAGGGCAGAAACCACAGTAGTGGTATCTGTTGGAGGAGAGAGGTGGTGAGATGGGTATGGATACTCTTGTAAGATGTTAGTTACAATTATAGGGGCGAAGTAGGGCAGAATGTGGATGTTTTGGGGGAAAGAGAAGATACAGACATCCACTCACAGATGTACTTGATACACGCATGTTAATTTTATTTTTTATTTGTGTGAGTGACAGATGCATGCATGCGGGTATGCTCACCCATTTTACTGCATGTGGATTGACCAGTTGCCAGAGATTGACACTAGGATATCTTTCAGAATCATTTTTCTACCAAGGGCCACCAGAAGCAATAGCAAATGAGTTGGAGGTTTTAGTTATTGGACAAAGGAAGGAGAGATGCTGTGTCCATGGAGATGGTAGGGAAGGCAACAGATGCTGTGTCCATGGAGATGGTAGGGAAGGCAATAGATGCTGTGTCCATGGAGATGGAAGGGAAGGCAACAGATACTGTGTCCATGGAGATGGAAGGGAAGGCAACAGATGCTGTGTCCATGGAGATGGAGGGAAGGCAGCAGATGCTGTGTCCATGGAGATGGTAGGGAAGGCAACAGATGCTGTGTCCATGGAGATGGAAGGGAAGGCAACAGATGCTGTGTCCATGGAGATGGAGGGAAGGCAGCAGATGCTGTGTCCATGGAGATGGAAGGAAAGGTGTAACATATCATGTGGATACACAATCTTTTTTTTTTTTTTTTTGGTTTTTGAGACAGGGTTTCTCTGTGTAGTTTTGCGCCTTTCCTGGAACTCACTTTGTAGACCAGGCTGGCCTCGAACTCACAGAGATCCGCCTGCCTCTGCCTCCCGAATGCTGGGTTTAAAGGCGTGCGCCACCACCGCCCGGCGTGGATACACAATCTTAATGCTGTTGGGAAGGTACTGCAAAAGGGGCCTTGTGGTAGTTGGTGAAGACTAAAGCTGCTTTTCTTTCTTTCTTTCTTTTTTTTTTTTTTTTTTTGAGACAGGGTTTCTCTGTGTAGTTTTGGTGCCTGTCCTGGATCTCGTTCTGTAGACCAGGCTGGCCTTGAACTCAGGCGTGCACCACCGCCGCCTGGCCTAAAGCTGCTTTTCTAAGTGAGGAAGGGGATGATTATGTATCAATCCCAGTTTTGCTGTTTATAAGCTTTGTGCTGTTGGTTGAATCTGGAATGTCTCCCATAGGCCTGAGTGTTAAAAAGCTTGGTCCTCAGCTGGGTGCATTTGAAGGGAGGTGGAATCTTTAAGAGGGAAGAGTGAGGCCTAGCGGGAGGTTTTGGTCCTTGAGGCATCTACTGAAGGGTATAGTGAGACCTTGCTCACCTGCACTCTTGGCTGCTTCCCTACCACTCCTCTGCGCTGAACAGCGCTGCTTCAGCGTGTGCTCCCTCCCATGATACTCTGCTTTGCCACAGACCCCAAAATAGTGGAATAAATGACTGTCCTAAGTCCTCAAATCTGTGAGCTAAGAGTGAACCTTCCTCCTTTTAAATGGCTTGTCTCTCCTGTTTTGTTAGAGTAACTGAGAGCTGACGAACTCTGTTCTGAAAGTTATTTGACCTCTTAGTGCCTCAACTTCCTCATCTTTCAAAGAAAGGCACGGGAACCTTCGTTACACAGCTTTAAAAGTGTGTTTGTACATTCTGAATGCCTCACACAGTGCCTGTACCTAGTTAAGTGCCAGGCACGTGTCCAGTCTCGCTAGCTTGAGCTTGGATAAAAACTCATTGGCATTGATAATTGTATGCTTCCGGTTAGAGACTGAATTTTGTACTTCACATTCCTGTAGTTGTGTATTTTTTTCCTCTAAAAGTTCTCAGCATTTGGAGATAGGACTGTAGAGTGTGGATATAGATTTTAATTTAGAATTAAAAAGTAGTTTTAATTTAGAATTAAAAAATATATATAAAATTTAGAATTATATATGTATAATTTAGAATTTAAAATATAATTTAGAATTATGTATATATAATTTAGAATTAAAATATAATTTTAATTTAGAATTAAAATACAGTTTTTTTCCTACCCAGAACAGTCAAAATGAAAGAAGTTGAGGGTTGAGTTTTAGAAAACTGACTGAGAGGGTGAACACCTTCGTGTAAGCTGGGTAAGAAAGTTAGCAGGAGTGACTGATAGGAAGAAAATAGTGGGGCCCAGCCCAGGAGCTTTCAACGAGACAGTGTAGTTCTCCGTTTTACCTGGCTGTAGTTGAAGTAAAATGATAATTATCTTGGAAAGCATATTAAGCAATGCGTTTTTTGAATCTCTCATTTTACCCTGGGCTGTGTCGAAACAGCATTTCTGTACACCTCTTGTCATTCTAATGCATTCATTTATTTGTGTCGTTTTGATTTCAAGGAGAACTTAGAAGATGAGTTTGAGCCACGAAGAAGGGACCACATCTCCCACTTTATTTTACGCCTAGCATACTGCCAGTCGTGAGTACACACTTCAGTCCTCGTGCTCAGGTTGATCTCGGGTTATACACTGGTTCATGTGAAGTTGGCATGTTTTTGAACTGATTGCAGGGAACCAGCATGTCAGAGGCTGGACATCGTTGTGCAGTCTTTGAAATAAGCTGTTGTACTGGAAAATGCTGAAAAAAGTTATTGCAGGTTAAACACGTTTTCTCTGACTGAGAGAGGCCCTAGATTTTGGGATGCAAATTTATAAGGAAGATTTCATTAGGAAGACAGCTTCTGATACTTTTCCAAGAAAAAAAGTTGTAATATTACTATGAAACGTTGATTCAAACATGCACTTGAATTTGATAAAAGTTTTCTGATTTGAGATGTAAGAGCCTACCTATTATATTTTAGTTGTTTTCAGTCTGTAGCTGGTGTCTTGTAACTCAATGCTGCCACCCAGAGGGAGAAGGAGCTAATTGCTGATTAATTTTTGGTCAAATATCAGAGCTATGGTTGCTTTTTATTATTAGGTTATGAGTTGAGTATTTTGAATTGTTTCTTCTCACAAGATCCTAAGTGATAGCATGTTTGGCTCAAAGCTTGAAATTTAAGAGTTTTGGCTTTCTAGAAAAACATATGTAGTTTATGTAACCCACACAGCCACTGAATTGCTGATAGTCTTGTCTATAAAAGTCACCTCACAAAAATGAAATTATATCGTACATGCAGTAGTTATTTCATAACATAGCATGAATACCAGCGCTGTGTTTGTCTTATGGATTAGTATATTTCTATTTTGGCTTTAAAATATTGAAGTTTACTGTAAAGCATACCCTTTTAATTGACAAAGTTTACTCATGTTAAGATAAAATGACTTTTAAGATTTTGGTGTTTACTTGATGTGGACAAAACCACCTCAGAGAAAGGAATGCCTCACTTCCCAGGGACTCTGTGAAAGTCATTTTACATGCAGTGAGCTATTTTTTATGTTATTCAATAATTATACAGGTTTTCTCAAAATATTCGGTGTTGAACCCTTTTTGTGATACCCCTGGGCCTCACACCCGGCGTCCATGTGGAAGATGGCGGTTTGCTCCCACTCTGTCTCAGATGAGACCGGGTGCACACGGGCGGTGATGCTGTGGACTCCTTCTATACTGCAGAGGGCTGGTCTGCTCTTGACTGCTCTCTTGGTGGCTGACTTGCCTTGAATATTGTGTCAGAAAAATCTCTTGAATCCAATAATCGTTGGGTTTTTAACTTGTATTCATTTCTGTTTCCATTTCAGTGAAGATCTTCGACGATGGTTTATTCAACAAGAAATGGATCTGCTTCGATTTCGATTCAGTATTTTACCCAAGGATAAAGTTCAGGATTTCTTAAAGGATAGTCATTTGCATTTTGAGGCTGTAAGTGTGTATATATAAATATACATTTTTTTCTACTTTCCCCTCCGTTCATTTTAGCAAGACTGAGTCTTACTATGTAGTCCTGACTTAGATAGAGGGCAATCTCCGTGCCTCTGTCTATGGAGTACTGGGATTACAGACATGTCATCATGACCGGCTTTTAAGTATAGTTTTATAGTTATTTGAAATGGTTCCCCCTTTTATCTTCTTTTCTTTTAAGTACTGATATTGGTAAGTGGAGTCCAGGCTCTTTATGTTCTTTTGTTAGGTACCTGGCTCAAAGAATAGCTGACATCAAATGCCATTTAAAAGCATGTGCAGTCTAGAGAAGGTTGTATTTCGTTTTGAAAATCAGCTGTTTGGAAAATCTGATTGGATAGTTTGAAGAAGTCGTGTTTTGCAGGTGAATCTGAGTGAACTACATTTTGCAGTTATACCGACCAGAAATGTTTGGGAAATTCAGCCCAGAGAAGTAGTGTGGATAGAAGTAGAAAGTGTGTCCCAGGTGGACCTGTGCTGCTGTGAAAGAAAGATTGTTTCTGGAAAGTTCCAGCAGTCAAGTGGAGTGGGACTGGTTGGCACCTTGGTGTAGGTGCAAGGTCCTGTTTGCAGACACCTCCTATGGCAAGGCTTCTCACAAGTTAGTGCCACGGAGGACAGAGGTGCTTGCTTCTTCAGAACTTCAGTTTGCTCCGAATATCTAGTTTGCATTTGAAAACTGTTACCCCTAAACGGGTTTTCGATGCTTTCAGACTTGAGGCAGAGCCAGGGTTCGAGAACAGTTATGACCATTTGTCATCTAAGATAGTCTGGAGGCCATGGAACTTGCTGCTCTAGGTCAGGCACATGGGAATGGTAGAGAGCAAAGAGCCATGGGGCTATCATAGTTTCCTTACGGACACTGCCTTCCTGGCACACTTAGAGTCTACCTGGATTTGAGTGCTAGTGTTCTTTGTATGTATTTCTTGTCCTTATTTCTCTAAGGCTACAGTGACTTCCACCTTCACCCTCGTCTCTAAGGCTACAGTGCTTTTACATTAGGAGGAGATGCAGTAATATAAATTACGTGCTCGCTTTGATAGAGAAACATGAACAGAAAAAAGTCTCATTAATTCTTTTGCACAGCCTTTTCTCTTAAATTTTGTTATTGTTTAGATTGCCATGCTGATGCTATTTTATTGGGTAAAAACATAAGCTGGTTCCTTAACCTGTCTCATACTCTGAGCTTTTGATCCATGCAGTGTGCTGGCTCCTCTGTGTATTTGGTTTAAACTTGAGTTTCAAGTGGATAGCAGATTCTGAATCTTTGTGACATAGGACATGAAAATGTACAAAGAAGAGAAGAGCTGATATGTTTTATCCTTTGCCTTAATAGCTTGGATGTTAAATCAGATTTCTAAGAAGGATTAGAGATGATGGAGTATTGTCGTCTATGAGGATTATTTTGGATTTCTCATAGCTGAGTTGATTGACTTAACCTTGAGTCATAACAAAGGTGACTGGGCATCCTTAAACAGACTCTGGCATTTTCTTCAGTTGGTCAGATAGGGAAAGGTCAGGCTGTGACAGCTATCAGCCTCATAGATGAAGGATCTCTGTGCTATTGCATGCACCCCAGAGCCAGATAACTGTATGTAAAACAATTGGCTGTTTTTAAAACTTCCTAGGAAAATTCATTTGAAATACCAGTGGATCTAAAGCCAGGGTACTTTATTACAGTAGCCGAATGTCAGGGACAGTAGATAGGACAGTGTTCTGTGTGCCACAGACTAGATCTAATGCATCCTAGAAAGAGCTCGTGCTGTTCAGTAGCCTTTGTGTTCAAGGAAGTGAGAGTTTTTGGGAGAAGGCACGTAAGACTAGTAACCTCATTGCTTGGCTTTCTCAAAACAAGTACACATACAATTTTGGATGGTTTATTTTTGCTTAAAATGAGTTTCTTATCCTATACCTGGCACTTAGAATTTCTTATCCCTTATTTAGGATACCTTTTTATTTATTTACTTTTATTTTACTTTAGAAAATGTTTCATGTCACGTTTGCTGGTAACATTAAGAAGGAACATTTATTTGTGTGTGTTTAAGCATGTATGTCGGTGCCCAGGCCACGGCTGCACACATCTGAAGGTCAGCGGACAACTTACTTGAAGGAGTTGGTTCTTTTCCTCCACTCTGTGGGTTGCTGGGATCAAACTCCGGTTGTCAGGCTTGGCGGGTGAAGCTTGATTTGTTACTTGTTACTGAAAATGTCATTTTTGAATTTTTTAGGAGCTTTTGGATGCTTTCCTCCAGGTTAACATTGCAACACTGGTTTAGTCTTTCCGTATACGGAAACTGATAATCTTCTTGTCATGTGCTTGTCATTGTTATATAGGTATTTGCAAGTTGGCTTTGACAGTCCTGGGTTTCTGGCCATTCCTGATCCCTGTTGTATTGTCTACCTTATTAATTGGTGTATTTTAGGCGGTTCTGTTTCTTTTGGTACGTGTACTCATCATTGCGGTCAACTTCATTCCTTTTACTTAAAATATGGGATGCTATTTGCCTGGTATATACCACTCTTTTGTCCTCTCTCTATAAACCTAGATTAATAACTTTACTAGTAATTTCAATGTGGTACACACAGACTGGCAAGCTCTGTTCAAATAAATATGCCTTTTGACACAGTGTGTCTCCGTGAGTCACAAATCTAGTGATCACATTGAGGTAGAACATGCAGAAGTAGAAGAGCACGCAGGAGAATGCATGTCTTCCTTTAAGAAGTTTTTTGAAAATTAATTTTATTTTATGTGAATGAATGGGTGTTTCCCTGCATGTATGTCTGTGCACCACATGTGTGCAGTGCCTGCAGAGACCAGAAGAGGACTGCAGATCCCCTAGAACTGGAATTATAGACAGTTCTTAACTATCTAGTGCTTGTTACCACTGGGCCACTGAGATAGCCCTTTTAAAATTTTTAAAATTTAAATTTAATTAGAAACTGTTCATATAATATGTTTCTGTCATATTCTCTCCCCTTATTCCTACCCATCCAACTTCATGTTCTTCTTTCTCTTAAGAAGAGAAAAAAGAAAGCATACAAAAAAAAGCACACATATAACCTCAAACAAAATCCCCACAAGGAGTCTGTTGTGTGTTGGCCAACTACTCCTGAGCATGCGGCCTGCCCTGGACTCGGTCACTCCATTGAAGAAAACTGATTTTCCCTCCTCCCAGCAGATACCAATTGCAAAATAGCTTCTTGGTTAAGGCGTGGGACTGTGTGCCAACTTCCCTTTTTCCTGTATGTGCTATTGTGTGCATGAGCCCTTGGAGCTCAAAAGAGGCATCATATACATTGGAATTGGGGTTACAAATGATTGTGAGCCGCCATGTGGGCGCTGGGAACTGACCTAGAGCCTCAGCATTGATTCATCTCTCCAGTCCCCAGGGCTTTCTAGAAGTCAGCTTGACTAACACAACCCTTTTGTTCTCATAGTGGTCTGTAGCATTGAGTAATTATATAGACCAACCTTATTTTATGTGTACTAACTGGGCAGATACAATGTCGATAACTTGTATTTGAGGAATAGGGAAAATGTTTGCTGAACTTTCAGCTAGTTGAGACCTATTTTTTATATGTATATAATTATGAAAAATCATGGCAGGTAGTCCTTTTAGTAATATTTTAGAATTCATAGAATTTGGGTTTCTTTGTAGAGTTACAGAATTAGATTCTCTTCATAAGGTAGCTTAAACCTAGAGACTGCTAAAATGTGGAACTTCAAGCTGAATTAATTACCCTTGAAGACTAAAATTAACATATGCAAACATTTTCAAACTAACTTGTGGAAGTCACTTATTTTAAAAGTTTTTATGTAGTTTTAAAATATAAAATTCCTTAGAGTTGCATTGTTGATAACTAGATCTACAGCTCTGCCCTTGGAAAATAAGACTAAATTAACTGATTTCTCCCATATACAAAGTAACCTATATGTGTATCTGTGCATAAAAGAATGAAATTAACCTTACTAAATATCATCTCTAGTGTTAAGTATTAATTAAAAATATTGTCAGATATTGTTCATGTTTTCTGAAGCTATTCTGAAACAGATGCTGAAGTATATGTTATATTTTCATTTCATAATCTTCGTAACCTTCCTCCTTTTCTCTAGATGCCCTAAAAAAACAAACCTTTTTGGTTGAAGTCACGTGTCATATGTAAGTGTGAAGTCTAGGTCAGATTGACTTATTCTAGAGCATTTGGGTGAGAATACGGACCAGGGTTGTGCTGTTGGGTGTGATGGCACATGCCGGTCACCCCAGCATTGAGACGGAGGCAGGAAGAAGACAAGAAGTCAAGACCAGCCAGGCTTACTGTGAGTTCTAGGGCAGATAAGGCTACATAGTGAAACCTCAAAACAGCAAGAATTAGGGATGTGATTAGTGGCTTGTGAAAAGTGGGAAATAAAGGTTGTGTTCTCAGTGATCTTTTAGCCAATCTTGGTTACAGAGCACAAGGACGTAGTCATAGCAGCAGCTATCGGCTTACCCTGGTGCTGAGAATTTGTTGTTCTGCTCTGCTTACCCTCCGAAGGTGTGTGAGAGCAGGCAACTGTATCCCTGCTTTAGTATACCTCCACTGCTTCTTTACCTGCTGCTGGATGGAAACGTGCCTTTCAAGACTTCACGCCTTCCTCTTGCCATTGGTCCTCTGTGGCTTTGTTCTCTTGCTTATCTCTGTAAGTCCACTGTCCCCAGGCCCCTGTTTTGAGCAAGAGAATCCTGTGCTCTGTTGGAACTTAACCTTTCATATACCTCAGCTTCTTTGGGTGATCCATGGGTTGAGATCACTTTGTAAGTATTAGAAAAAGAACTGTGTCCAGCTTGCATGGAGTCCTCATTTCCCAAAGAAGGGTGCTAATGACTGAATAGAATCTGCACCCACTAGGAGATGTGAGGAGAGGAAGCTAATCCCTGACAGCTAATGTTTGTTGTGTCTGCTGAGTACCAGGCACTTGG